CCCCATGTTCAGAGCCCCCCCCCCCCCAACAACAACATGTATTAAAATTTGGTAAAAATGTTTGGTAAAAACTTGAAAGAGTTAAAAACAACACTGTCAATACAAAATACAGGGGGGGAAATACTAATGCATGGCCTTTATGTAACTATCATTACTGATTTGCTCCACTGCCATTTTCTCTGTTACATCACTGGAATTATATTAGGTATATTCTTTTCTTTTGCTTGACCTGTACTTAAAAGAATAGTAATAATTAAATTTATTTTAATGAAGACTATTGCTATGAACATCTTTGCTTACTAAAAGTTGATAAATGCTTAAAAATCTTTCAGTTCTTGTTTTGTGTATGAGAGAGAATAGGCTGAATCGTGCTTAGATTTGCATGTCAGCTTTGACCTTTCGTTCAAAGATAAACACGCACCCACAAATATCAACTTCTCATATCTCGTCACTATACTGACAGTACTAAATCCATCCATCATTTACAAAGTCATGAACATTGTTATAGTCTGCATATGCATCTGAACTTTCGTGATTTTAATTGTTTTAATAAGATTTCACTGGAAAAAGCCTGAGATTATAAGGTCTTGCAAGTGGAGAGGATTGGACAAGATAAGGAAAATGTGCACTGTTGTCAAGTCAAGTCACCTTTACTGTATTTATATAGCACTTTATACAATACAGATTGTGTCAAAGCAGTTTTACAGTGTTAAACAGGAAAATAGTGTGTTGATAATGCATGAGAACAAAGTTGATTTTTCAGTTAAAGTCAGTTCATCATTGATTCAGTGATGTCAACGTCCAGCTCAGTTTAGTCCTCTTCAATTAGTGTCTGTGCAATCAAGTGTCCTCAACTAAACAAGCCAAAGGCGACAGTGGCAAGGACCCAAAGCTACACCGGTGACAGAAATTGAGAAAAAAACCTTGGGAGAAAGCACACTCAGTCAGGGGGCCAGTTCTCCTCTGGACAGACGAATCCAGCATGGTGTGGTTTAATTCCAGGCTGCAACACAAGTCAGAGGACTCATCTGATTCTTATAGCCTTTGCTGAGTAATTGTGCCGTTGTGCTGACAAGGTCTTCGCAGGGGATATGTCTCTAGGACTCATCTAGTTGACATTGTCTCCGCTGACATTCAGGGCTGTAGAGGTCATCTCTAGCTGCTGATCCTCCATCTGGTCTGGATACAAACTGGATCTGGGTGGCTGCGGAGACCTCGGAATAAGAATGAAACCAACTAATATTAGCATAGATGCCATTCTTCTTAACAAGTGCTCCGGGTGTTATGGGAAGTGTTCCCGGTTCCAGTTGACCTACTGCAGCCTAACAATTCTTTAACGGATTTAAATGATAGAAATCTTATGTGTATGCCAAGTTAAAGAGATGGGCATTTAATCTAGATTTAAACTGACAGAGTGTGTTGGCCTCCTGAACAACGTTAGGAAGATTGTTCCAGAGTCTGGGCACTAAATAGGAAGAGGATCTACTGCCCGCAGTTGATTTTGTTGTGTATCTAGAGCTCTATGCGTGTGCGCTCCGCCCAATCGCTCCACCCGTATACCGTTCATGCGAATCGGAACAGCAGTCCACTCAAAAATTGAGCCGACAGGAAACATCGATGTAGTACAGTATTGTTTCTGTCTATCTATACTTTTCAAATTATCACATCGAAGTTAGAAATTCAAATATTGTGACAAAATTAATTTTGTAGGGTGCCACAAGTTTGTTAAAATTTCCAAAGGGTGCCGCGACTAAAAAAAGGTTGGGAAACACTGATCTAGAGAAGTGAAATAATGTCACTATTTGTATACGTTTTTAGTTAAATTCGATCTTGAATTAAATATTATAAATATATTACAAACATTAAAACATTAAATAGTTTTTCCGACATCTATTTTGAATGAGATCGCTTGGACCATTTTATAGGAGTCATATATCAAAGGAATATTTCACCCAAATATGAAAATTTGCTAAAAATGTACTCACCTTCAGGTCATCCGAGATGTAGATGAGTTTGTTCCTTCATCAGAACAGTTTTGGAGAAATTTAGCATCACGTCACTTGCTCACCAATGAAACCTCTGCAGTGAATGGGTGCCGTCATCATAATGAGTTCAAACAGCTAATAAAAACATCACAATAATACACAAGTAATCCACATGACTCAGTCCATCTATTAAAGTTCTGTGAAGTGAAAAGCTGTGCATTTTTAAAAAACAAATCCAACGACTCACTCGTATAATATAATATAATATAATAAAGTTAGAATCCTTTGAATATTGTGGGGGTTTTGTTACCTTTGAAAGACCTCTGGTCTTTCCTGACATTACTGAACTTACTGTTATAAAGCCAACCTCTACTGAATCTCTATTGAAGAGATTCAATATGCAAAAATACAAGACCGAAAGGTACCTCTGCAGCTCTTCATTTGAGCTGCGCATTGTGAAACTCATTTAAAAAAACAGATCTATGTTGCTTTGAAATCAGTGCAGGGTCTGCCATACTATGCCTCTGCCATGAGGCTGAGGTTTGATCTGAAAATATCACTAAAAGTGATAATTACGTGATATTGGCTTCTGAATTGAATGTCTATTTTGATTAAAGTTATTGAAAGAAAAAGAAAACTCAAAACAAAACGCAGATAATGATGTCATAAAGAAGTGGTCTGTGTGGTGAAACAGACATCTTGCAAGTGTCATGTGCACAAGTCTCTTGCGCAAAGGATACACCCAGCAGAGCTGTTGCCATTTCAGTGCAGCTGACTGAAGTGGTCTATGTGAAAGGTCACGCTCTGCCGGAGGTTAACGTCACATAAGCGTACCTCTAACTATGACACGTTCACACTCTGCTTTTTTTTCCTTTCTCGGTTGTGTGTAAGCTATTAAAATTGATGAGCCAACGTATGTCACATCCAGTGTGGTCCCACTGTGCATCACAGAGTTCATGTTACCATATATTGGCATACTCATGATGAATTATACACGCAGCTCAACCCTGAAAAATACAACTATTGCAAGCAGTTCAGTTGAAGCATGAAAGACGTACTGAATTAGTCATTTTTTTGTGTGTGTTGAGTCTGTTTGACGTACACAAAAAGCTGCAAGCTTTAGCATACAATAATATAAAATTATTAGTGCTGTCAAATGATTAATTGCGATTAA